TATATATATATATGATAAGATAGGGTGACACTGTCCTAAGGATAATTGGAGATCTCGTTACTTCCCACCGGTAACTTCAATTTGCGATCGACCGATAATGAGATATCGAATCCTGGTCCTATATCTCCCATCTTATTCTCTCTTGTCCCTCTTCCTTTTTTATCCGGTGTCTTAGCCAATGTCTCATAGCTTTCTCGGTTTACGTTCAAACAACGACGTCAAGATGTATTCGGTGTCCCTTAGATACTTATTAAACACCCTCTTACTTTTTAGCACGGCAGTGTCAATGTTATCATGTTTCGATTAAGAAATGAGAACCTGTATGATCTGTTTATGCATTTGTAACTAACGTATCACAGCTGATTTTCTCATTTTTGTAAAAATTGTAATGATATTAAAATTAAGTTACTAAACATTCATAAAAAGTAATACAAGTGATACAGAATAATAATATACAATTTCATCTTAAAAAAAAAAATTGAATTTATTGAATTTAATGCAGTAATATAAAAATGATAATAATTATTAATTTTAAAGGCAGTTTATAAGAACATATTATAAGAGCATATTAATAATTAAGCAGTTTATAAGAGAATACTGATAAATTCAATTTTTTCGTTAACAAAAGCGAGTTGCTTTTTGTTACCAATGTTTTTGCGTGAATGCTTGTAAATCATGAAAAACCGCGTTTACATTGAAATCTAAGCGGAAGATAATTTTGGGGTGGCAGCGCAAATTGACAGGGCGACGCGTTTCCATTCATTTAAATTACGCACCAATTCTGTCGGTGACTTTGGCATTGTTGCTGCAAATTGGTCTACGCCCTAGCCTCCGGCCTCCCTCTTCTGTCCGATCGTACATACGCTTGCTGAACAAACCGATGCCTGTGTCCAGCTTTTTAAATAACGGCCTGAAACTATCGCGTATATACAGGGCGTCCTATATTAAGCGCTTTAAATTATGGATTATTTCACCAACTTTAAATTGACTTTTTCTTTACAAAAATATTGCAGCAGTTACAGCTTTGAAGTTATAAACGATTGAAAATGAAGAATATGTTAAAAATTAAGTTTTACAGGAATAATAAAATAGGTAATAAATAAATAGATAATAAAATTTTATATTTTAATTGATTTTAAATATAAATTTTAGTACAATAAAATCTTAATGTGACGCATGGTTAAAAATATATTTAATGTAATAAATTGGAAAAAAACGCGATAAATCACACCAGTTTTTTGCTACAATAATAGACTTTGAAAATAATGATAAATTAAGTAATGATTTTTAAATATTTATTGTTTTTTATCATTCCGTGAATATTAATTTTTAATTTACTTTATGTACCTTATTATCGATATATCTGCTTTCTGAAATATACATATTGATATTGTTACAGATAATATATTTCTTCTCTATGTTTAATTATTTTCGAACGAAAGGTAACAAGGGCTTGGTAACATAAGATTAATTTTGTTACCGGAATGATTGTTTATATAATTTGACTGGCATATAGTTAATAAAAATATTAGCTGCACATACATATATTTCATAAAATTGCTTTTATGTGCGATTAACACACGGATTAATGAGTCTATCAAATAGATATATAAAATTTCTCTAATAAAGCAATGCTTGTTATTCTTTGGAAATGTAGTTCGTTACATGCGAGCGTGCGTGTGGAGAAAGCGACACGCGTCTTCACCATAGGAGGCGAATTATCAGTATTACTAACAAGTAACCTAACAGGCATGAAAAATAGGATAGTAGCTTTTGAGGAGGCCATTTGAGCATGATAATTAACTAGACAACAGCATTGTGACACGTGTCGTGCGAGTGCAAATTGAATAAAAGTAACTGATCGTCCGGCACGATCATGGTAGTCCAATTAGAGAATAATTTAAGCGAGAAAACTAATGTACAAACATTTCTTTAACGCTAGTACAATATGGAGACAAATTAGGCATTTTGACGTTTGAATGCTTTGTTAGCAACCGTAAAGTTTACATCTCTAATTAATATATGTTGACACGATAGAAACTGTAAAAAATTAAATCAATCTTTTCGTTAAGGGAACTAGAAAGATTTAAATAATCAATAAATAGGGGTATTTACTTATTTATAATATATTAAACTACAAATAAATATTGCAGGTTTTTCTTTTTTTACTCCGTATGTATTTATTATACGTACAATCTTAATTTTATGAATTTCTAATTAAAACTGTGTGATAGAAAACTACATATCTTACAAGAAACATTAATAGGATATACAAAAAAATTAAAATTAATTTTTTTTTTCAATTTTCAAACTTTGGATAATTTAATTAAGAATTAATTTTGTTACATTTTCTCATACATGATATGAAAACATGTTTTTTCTAAGTAGCCGTTTATTTTGTTCCAGGTATGGTTTCAAAATCGGAGAGCAAAATGGCGCAAAACGGAGAAATGTTGGGGCAGAAGTACTATAATGGCAGAATACGGTTTATACGGAGCGATGGTCCGACATTCCTTACCACTTCCGGAAACGATCTTAAGAAGTGCCAAGGAAAATGAATCCGTTGCGCCGTGGCTGTTAGGTAAGAGAGAATGCATTTCTCTGACAAAACTCTTAAATTAGTATTTTTGACAATTTAAGTATGTAAAAATTCTTAAATCTTTTTTTTAAATTTGGGCCTAGAATTAGTTAATTATAATAATCCGCAGATCTCTTAATAAGATTGCACACTAACAAGAGAATATATAGGATGCATGTATACGATACATGTATAGGACAATATATTTATGAAAATAATATATTACACATAAATGTGTAATATAATCTTTACAAGAAATTTTTATTACTTATTGATTATTTCGGTAAGCATTTAAACAAGAGTAAAAATTTTTGTTTGCTGTTAATTAATTTTGCAATTACCTTATTTTGCCATACATATCAGCAAAAAAGTAATTGACTAAAATAGAAATGATTTAAATATTATAAAAAAAGTTATTACTATTGAAAACTGGAAAAGATCTTTCCGCCTTGATAAGAACACTTAAGATAAAAGTGGCCCAACAAATTTCGAATATTTTTTTTTTTCTGTTGGTTTTTACCAGCTCAATCGTCTAAGACAAGCAGCTTTAACCAAGATTTCGAATGTAATCAAGAACTGATTGACTGTGGACCTGTAGGGATGCATCGAAAGTCGCTCGAGGCAGCAGAGCATCTCAAATCTGGCGGAGAGGACAGCGGTAACGATCAAAACGGAAGCGGAAGCAGCCCCAATCATAATCACCATCAAGGAGGACCAACCAGTTCGGAAAGCGGACAGGAGAGTCAGGATGGTATGGGACCTTCGTCATCTACGAGTAAGTTCTATTTCGCCTAAATATATATTGTATATTAAATCTAGAAAAAATTTAGTAGAAATGCAACTGATAAATTTTATATTAAAATGCGTTTAAGTCAAAACAAATTTTTTTTTGGTAAGAATCAATATTTGTGGATGTGTCTTAACGAAAGAAGCCGTATTATGGGATCGATAATTTGGAATGGATTAAAAAATAAAAAAAAAATAAAAAAATTTCAAATGAGTATACGCGTCATTGTGTTTGCAGGTGTTGTACAGGATACAGAGCAACTCAGAAACGAGAGTATTGCCTGTTTAAGAGCGAAAGCGCAGCAGCATCAGCTACAATTGAGCCTGCAACCAACATCAGCACCGCCTGGCGGATCGTATCCGTCGGCACCACAATCCAGCACATTGCACACCTCGGTTTAATCGCAATTATATACAAGCTCTTCTCTCCTGATAGTTCCGTGTCCGATATTTTTGCTGCTGATACGGAAGCACATCGTCCTGCCCGGCAGACTGTCGTAGGTGAATCGGCAGCATCGATTTCAAAATCAAGTGATATTTTTTTAATGGGTACATTAGATGAGGATGTGGATCCTTTCGAGGATCTTACTATATAAGGATTTTACCGGGATCACTTTTGAGATTAATCTCACAGTCAGACTGCAGCGATCGTGGTGATCGTTGATGATCTCGAATTGATTTCCGATTGATACGATTCTGATATAATACTACGTTCCTCGTTTTCGCGCCGTTTTCGCGAATTTTTGCGACAATTGAGATTATCCGATAATTCAGAATAAATCTTTCGTGAATGTTAAAGATACATGCGAGATATGTACAAGCACAACGAAGCGTGACGAACCAACCGATCGAGCGCCTGTTTCGCGTTATCATGCCTCGCGCAGCAATTAGGCAGGCTTATAAATCGACACGGATCCGTGTAAATCCACCGCAACGACTTGACGTACAATGATAAAAGACATTAACGGTATCCTCATAATGAGTTTCGAGAGAAACGAATTGCCGCCGGAAAGAGAATGAACAATGAAACTAATTGTTAAGTTTAATCTTTATCAACGAAATAATATAGCCTACTGACGATTGGTATAACGTACAATGAAAGGTCATAAGAATTACACGTCGTCAACAAATCTTTAGAGAAAAATTTTTCAAAAAAAAAATCGTTGGCGAAGAACGAGGCTTGATTATTTCCCGGTTGATATAAATCAAGAACCGGCAGATAAGAGTGAACAAAACTACCTAAGTAGAATATAATCGCTTTTCATAGTGCGACAGTATATGTATGCATGTATGTGTGTGTGTATGTGCATATGTATGTATGTGTGTATGTGTGTATAAAAGACATGCGAAAGAAAAAGAGACAGAATGAAGCGTGATAAGAAAATTTCGTCTTCAGAGCGTAAATTTGCAACGAATGTTGAGCAACGCAAAGAATGAAGGAAATAGAAAGAAGGAAAGAGAGGTTGTATGAAATATTTAGCAGAATAACAGATTATATGAACACATCGAAGAAGATAAACCCGAAGACTTCATATTATACATATACATAACAAGCGCTCCCAAGACTTATAAATTTATGACAACATGCAAGCATCGAAAGTTGAATCGACCGTTAAATTCATGTGTGTATTTGAGAGAAAAAGAGAGATATTATATGTGTAGATGTGTATAACAAGCAAAGAGAAAAATAGAAAGAGAGAGAGAGAGAGAGAGAGAGAGAGAGAGAGAGAGAAAGAAAGGGAAAAAGAGATGTAAGCCAGAGATTTATTAGAAAACTTTCTATATCTAAGTACTTAAAGAAAAACATAACTGTTGTCAAATGTGCAATATATCGATATAAGTTCTAGTTCGATAAGATATACTTTAGTAACAGATACGTCTTACGCGAGGTGGTTGCGATAGCGCCGGTGTCTCGTCGGGCGGTTGTTATATAAACGAATTTTGCAATATGTCTCATTGACAATTATATGTATGAATTGAAAGTTCGTGAAATATCGCTCGTCTAATTCTTATGCTTTTTGTTCCTGCTGCAAATAAACTCATCTACGTCGTTGCACCGTTGTTCGGGGCGCCCGCCTGCTGTATATAATTATATAAATAAAGAAGTACAAATATATATTATGTATATATATATGTACTTCTTATACGCACATATATAATGCTGAGTCGAGCGAGAATCTTTTCACGAGTTTGCACTTTTGCAAGATCTTCAAATGACAATATTAAAATGCAAAAAATATATTTGCTTCACTAAATCCTCGCGAAGTAGAAATCAATAGATATTTTTAATTGTTTTTATTGGTTGCATTGTGTATTACTTATTTAACTCTTCGTTAAGGCGGAGTCCGGATCACTTATTTATTATTATGACCCTTATCTTAAAAATGTTTTATAAAACTGGTACGAGATAAATAAAACGTATTTTATATGTAAATTATATAAAAATATCAATAATTTACATTTAAAAAATATTTTTTTCTTATTTTCTTTTAATCGTTACATGCAATTAGTATTAAAAAAATATTTAAGAATATTATATAGAGTCTCAAAACTACACTAAGAAAAAAAAATTGTTAACTTGACTAAATGCGTTTAACTGATTACTATCTTTTTAATTGAAATATTTAAATACTTAAATTAAATACGTCATGTTAGATTTAATATGTCATATTTAATTTAAATACTGAAATATTTTAATTAAAGACATAGTATTTAGTTGAACGCATTTAGTCAAGTTAACAACTTTTTTTTCTCAGTATACCGAATGTTTTTTAAATAACAGATTTTTTGGATAATTTGAAGACGATCTTTTCTCAACAAAAATATCGAAAAAGATCATTTCTTGCAAGCTTCCAATTTTTTCTATCCTATATTTTTGTAATTAAGTCTTAAATATTGAAATTTTATTAAAATAAACTCCATCTAGAATTAACTAAAAGGAATGTAGTTGTGTTAATCTTTTAACTTTACGAAATTTAGTTTAGGGAAAACTCTTCTTGTTCAATCGCTTATAATCCGGATGTTATTAATGCCTTGACATTTTTTCTGCAAAACAATTGTCTTTAAATTAGCCAAAAAATCTACTATTAAAAGGACCATCCAGGATGTTTTTAGGACATATCTTGTATACACATAATTGATATAGCCTCCGCCGTACTATTACGCTGTCCACTGTCCGAAAATTAATGCACTTGTTGGGAATTTTTTGAGTCGATGTAAAATTTATTATCCCCATGCATATTTATTTGCTTTAAAACGTGTAGTATATAAATATTAGAAAGAGATAATAAATCACAAAAAGCCTCGTCTAATTTCTAATATAGCAGTCCACACATAACTTATTGTTAGTAATACTATTTTGTGCTTTTGATTAGATATATGGACATGAATTTCCGTAAGGAGGAGGATCTTGGCTTTCTTGCAAATTAGGATTTTCGCGAGGACTCAGCAACGATGATCAAGTAAAATTTCGTCTGGCTCAGACCCAGTTGTACACGTAACATAACATATTATAATTTAAAAAACTCGATTATGAAAAACAAAGTAACCACATGTTCTCTAGAAGAAAAGAACAAGTCAAGAATCATAATGGAAATGATACCGCTGTTATTGTGAATACATTTAACGATGAGCTCCGGATCTGCAGCGAATTCTCTGTATTTGAATGCTCTAACGCATGCATAGTAGTCGAATAGTATACGTAAGAAATAAAATTTCTGAACAAATACGCATTTTTTAATTTTCATTACCTCGTTATAAATTATGAGAAAATAATTCTGCTAATAGAAAATGAAAGATTACGGTCAAAACTATAAAAAAAATTATAATATCATAGAATAGATCTCTGTTTCTCAAAAATCGATTTTTCATATGTCATATTACGTATCAAGATATTTCTAAGTCCCGAGAAGGGTATGAAAATATTTTGGAACCCTTTTTTCTCTATTTTCTCGATTATTGTTTTCTTTTGCTTCTATATTTTATTCAAGAATATTAATGTAATAAATCTAACTATAAATCTACGGTATCTCTCTTAGTCTGACTCTTACAAATATATGTTATAAAATATAATACAAAGTTTAATATAAAATATAATTCAAAATGTAATACAATAGAATTTATTACACGGAATTACACAAAAATGTGCGAAATATTTATATAATGCAGAATTCACTAGAAATTTTTAGATCGGATATAGCTGATAAGCAACGATTAAAGCGATATTTATGATTAATGATCAATATGCAATTACAAAACTTATTAAGTTTTATATGCTGCAAACAATTATGATCAAAGGATCGTTAATAAAGTTATCGATTGTTTTTTCAATTGTAGAAAAAAGTACTTAGACAACTGGCGTATTTTGCGCCAAAGACTTCCAAATAAAATATCCGAGAAAAAATAGACGAAGCTTCGATGTAAATCAACGATTAAATCACAAGATAAATCACGATTTAAAATTTGTGAAAAAAACGCGACGAATAAATAAATCGACAATAGCCGTAATACTCGATTTTGAACACGATATAATTACTAGGAGGAACGATATAATTACTATATACTTAAATGTTTTGACGGACATTTGGAGCGCTTTTTATAATCGCGTCTGTAATATAAGTCATTTGTGAATATAGAACTTAATGCCCGATTTATTTTCAAATATGTGATTTTATACAAATTTCGCGATTAAGAATAAGATATATATACCGTTTCGCGGAAGAAAGATTAGCTAAACAAGATAAAACTTTATAAATCTTAAGATATTGTTATAAAAAAATTGCGTTATCGCCGCATTCAATGGAGGATAACTGGCTCAACGATTTGACCAGATCAAGGTCCCTCCGCCAGATAACACGTCGGTTAATATCCGACAAAGACAAGAACAATCCTAAAGGTGGAGAACGATCAACTTCTTGCTTCTACATCGGACCCCGCAATATCAATCCGCGAAGAAAAGTTAAGTGATCCGTTGAATATCAGAGGTTTTGCTGTAGGAGGGAACAAATCCCGGATCTTCCGGACTACTCCCGATAGCAATGATTTCGGTAAAGAATCAACAACATTTACCATTGTCATTATCTTCAATTCACGAGATTAAAATTCGCGCGACAAAAAATGTATTCTTCCATTATTCAGAAATATATTTCTTTACTGAAAATTAAATGGATATAATGATTTTTATAAAAATGTGGTTACGAACAACTATATTTGTGGATAATAAAATACATGCACCTTTATTGTAGCATATATCAAATGTGCGAGTACAAATAATTCTTGGGTACTAACTGTACGAGACGAATCAAACCCAATAACAGCAAAATTTAAAATTTAATTTGGATATTTTGCAACATAAAATAAATCAAAATAATATTAAGCATAATTATAATAATTCTAAGCTATAATTAATCTTTTTCTGTAGCATTTAAATACATTAATTTGCCAATGTTTCACTGATATTGGGGTACCCATTCGATTTGTCTCGAAGTTTTAAAGTATACGCACATTTTATATTGCATTCATATATATTATTTTGTAATATAATATTCAAAAAAAGTATAAAAGTTTTTTGATATAGTATGTTAACTTGCGCATGTATTTCATTATATATATAGAATGGTATATCTAAAAACTATCAGGATTTGTTCCTAGTATGGCGGGATGTTTAATACCTGTAAATGATTTCTTATAAAAGAAACCAAAATATAATTTTAATATCCTCAAAACCTAGAAAAATTTTCTTAAAAAAAATCAGAAATTATATTAGTTAAAAATTAATTAATAAAATATATTTGTTCGTAACCATAATTTTTTATATTAAAAAATCAATAGAAATCGAAAAATTGATTGCAATTTGAAATTGCTTGAGAAATAGATATTTATCTATACACAGTAGCGTTATATCCATATTCAATCTACTATTAAGTTTTTTTAGCATTAAGGCAATAATAATACTAATATTAATAATAATAGAAGAACACTTTTAACAAGAGGAAGAAATATATCTTCCTTTTACAAATATACTATTTAAATTAATTTTCTAATTCGATTTTGAAAAGTTTATAAATATTTTTAAAATAAATAATATAGAGAAATTAATATTTAACAAATATATTAATTTAGAATTTCTATTCTATTGCCATTATACATGTTTTTTCGGTACATTGTCGTGTAATTTACAAAAATAGGAATATAAATTATAATATTATTAATATAATTATAATGTATAATTATATTTAAATTACAATTATAACACAATTATAATTATAATTAATTAATGTACAACTATAATTAGAATGCAATTAATGATGCTATCAGTATCAAATAGATATATCCGATATATCCGAGGAAGAAATATATCTTCCTTTTACAAATATACTATTTAAATTAATTTTCTAATTCGATTTTGAAAAGGCGTGTGGTAGTCGTCATTGAGTTACTACTAAAACCATTGCTTTTAGAAATCGCCAGGAAAATCTGGGTTTAATTCCAATCCTGCAACAAACATCCGCAACTAGACGTCGCGGATGGATCTTACAAGAGCCGACAAGAAATAATTCTCCACGATGAAGATTGTTTCGACTCCTCGCCGGTACGAACCACGCAACATTACTAACGTTCACCTGACGAGAGGGACAACGATAAGGCCCCTTAGTTAAGACAGCGATCACGTC